TAAAGTAAGTTATTTAGTAAGTGCATTTGAAACGTTATTTTTGGGGGGTCTGAAATGGACTAATCAAATTTCACAATTTTCCCTTAGGGAACACTTCTTCGTAATGGCACCTGAACATATTTCTTGAATAAATAACACGTAAACCGGGTCCACTTACAGTGCCCCCCCCGCATAACGAAATTATTTCAATCCAGAAGTTTTTTTTGGGGTGCCATAGACCGAATTTTTTCCATAAAAAATTGTGAATTAGATTACCCATTTCAGACCCTAAAAATACACCTACAAAGCACTTCAAAAATAAACTTACAAAATTTGGTCGATTTGGGGAGCGCCGTTACCCCGGGGGCCCCTTTTATAGAAGCATACACATGTTCTCGGCTTTTTATCATTTTGAAAGTGAAATGAACAGTTTCACTTTACATGATTTTTTACTTTGGGAGCAGCAGCCTAAACCTAGCCTGCTTATAACGGGTATTTGTAGCTGGGGGGTTTAGCAGGAGTGTTGGAAAATTTATTTTTGATGTTTCAAAAAATAATTATAACACTTACGTACTTTTTCAGTGAAGTTTTAAAGGGCTCGTCATAAAAAACAAAGAAGTCTGGCCTGAAAAAAAGTCTGAGGAAAATGAAAAAGAAGGTGAAGTATACAATATTTTGAAAAGATTTTATAAAAAATTTGTGAAAACAAAACTACATAGTAATTACATACAAATTTTATAAAACTGACAGTTTTTGTAATTTTCGGAATAGATTTTATTTTTATTGTCCCCTTATTTTTTTTGTAAGTTTAGCTGTAAGCTTTTAATAAAATTCCAGAATTTTTGGGCACATGCTAGTTCTTTTGAGTACTTTCCCCAATTTCAAACCCTATTTGCAAAGAAATACAGTGGATCATCACTTGTCTGTTTCCCTTTTGGGGAAGGGGGTTCACGAATTTTCAAAAAACACACCTCATTGTTTTACTACATTTCTTTTTCACATTATTTCTTGGGTGCGGATAAAATAATGTTAAACAATAACAAAAACCAGATAAAAGTAGATTTCTACCATATTTTCTGGCTCCACATCTACATTACTGGGAAATATTCTTACTTCGGGGACTAAAATTTTCCTTGTCTCTTATCACACTTTTTTTTAATTTATTGTATTTTATTGTATTTTTCTTTCCTTCTCTTATCTTATAATTAGGGCATTTCCATACCTTTCTCTTTTTTCATAATTCTTATTTCTTTCGCAAGGGACACATAAAAGTTTTACTTCGTAGATCCCCATTTTTGTAATTGCTGTTCCAAAAAAGGTTGCCTAAATCAAAAAGGGCCAAAAACGAATACGGGGACCCCCGATTAAGATATTTTTCTTTCCCCCAGAAGTATGTTCAGGTGCCAGTACTGACCAAATTTTGTTCCCAAAAGGGAATATTTGTGAAGAGATTAGCCCATTTCAACCCCCAAACTTTCACAAAAACGCACTTATAAAAATACATTTACATAATTGGTCACTTTAGGAGGTAATCGTTAAGCGGGGCCACTGTACTGTACAATATTTTCTAAAAAAATAAAATCCTTAAATCCATTTCGGACCCCCCAAAAAAATTTTAACAAAAAAACATTTTATAGAGAACAACTACATTTTTACATACAAAAACAATAAAAAATAAATATAAATGACTAATTTAATGATAAAGAACATTACATACTTTTTTTGAAAAACGTTTTTGGCAATAGTATTTAATTGGTCCCAGAGGGACTACATCTCAGGCTATCCCTACCGGCTAACACACACGCTGCCACACCCCTTTATTACCATCGAGTACCATTTCACTGATTTTAATCGTTTAGATGCCATATAAAAAAAGGGGAAAAATAATGAATAATTCTGCGGGAAAATTGTAAACAAAAGCCTTTTTAATTAAGGGGGTTACAGGCCAACCAGTTTTCCCAGCACTTTTCCCCAAAGCTACCAGAAAAAACTATTGTTTCCCCCCTCCCCGCCCCATAGCATAAAAACATTGCATGTTTATATGCATAAATGTTTTTTCTTATGTATAATTTTGAAAAAAATATCATAGATGGTTTAATTAAAATATCAATTAACCTAAAATAAGATTTTTTAATGTGCCCAAGGTGATTTTATTAAACAAACATTGCATATAAACATTCATTTTTTGGCTTTTAAATTGTTTCTTACATAATTTTGAAGAAAATGTCATAGAGGGATTAATGACAATGTCTATATCCATAAAATAAACATTTAAGTCCCCAAGAGTGGTCATGACTAAAGCGCCCAAGGGGATGCGTCTGGTACCGTCGATTTCCAAGCCAATGTACAAACCAGGGGAAATTTCGCCGAAAAAAGTGCTCAAATCCGAATTGTACAAAATTTTGCACCACCGAAAACTGGGGGCCCTGGTATTTTTTCAAATTTTGGGAAAACAAGTGTGATTTTAAGATAGGCTATAAATTCATATTTTCCCTTTATTGTAATTAAAAAAATTTAAAAATTTTTTTCACTTTAGGATTGAAAATATTTGTACTTTCCTTTTTGTTTAAAGTAATTGCATTCATAAAAAAAAAGGGGATTCAAATATGATTTTTTATTTCACTTGCGTGATGAATGGGGAAATTAAAATTATTTAATGTAAGCAAATTTTTGTACCATGTAGGAAACTTTTTTTTCAGTTCCCCATCACTGCCCCCCGAGAAATCAAAATTCAACAGCAACTGAAGCACGATAAAATTGTCCAAGTTGAACAGATATGTCGACAAACGTAAGTTCCCCCCCTTTTTTCTTTTCATTTTTTTTTTCTTTGAGCTAAATAACAAAGTATTGACTGTAATTATTAATTTTTTTGGCTTTATTTAGAACATAGTGCATTGGAATAATTTTGTGTGAAAAGCTTCAATGTAAAAACGTACATAAAGAGGGATGGGTTAACTACTGTCCTGTCTACAAGTGGGCATGAAGCTGTTAAATATTATGCACTTTGCCAGGATTTCTGCTCTTTTCCCCTTTTGTCCCCACGAAATCTTACAAAATTCATAGTAATTAATTTATACTGTACCTTCTTTTGTGGGTTTTCAAAAGTTCTTTTTCCTGTGATATTTTGTATCCCCAATTATTCTAAGACCTGGCCCCAGGTTGATATCTCCAGAACTTTAACAAATAATTTTCTATACTATTGTATACTGACTTATTTCATTTGACTTTTTAAAAAAAAATTTGATTTTTTTTAATGTTTTCAGATTTTATTTTTGTAATTATTTAATTTCATTAGGACCCCCTTAAAACTCAGATTTTCTCTGCGGTTTTTAGTTTTCTGCGGTTTTTCATGGCCCGAAAATAACCTTTAAAATAGTACAGAACAGTTCTTCTAACCCTCAGAGAAGTCATGAAGTGCTTCCCATCAGTGAAAAAATGCTAATTCTTGACTTTTTATGCATAATTTATCGATTAAACTTTATCAAAAAGGGCTTTTGTAAACAAAAAAAAAGACTTATACACAGGGGTTTGCTACTATCCTGGTTTCGGGAAACCACAGTAGGTCTTTAAACGACCCCCATGGGTAGTGGGGACTACTGTAATGGGCACATGTGTTTGTGTTTTTCTGTGGTACTGTATTTGTTTAATTTAACAAAAATTTTACAGCAAAGAAAACATTTTTTTTTCTTTTTATTAACAGTCCTGCAAAAAAAAAAATTAAACCTAAAAATAAAAATTTTTCTACGATTGAAACAATGTTTTCACATTTTTTAGCCATGTAAAGAAAAGAAATTTGGAAAGTCATCCTCTGGTACACCCTAACTCGAAAACATATCACAGTACGTAAACCCCCTCCCAGTAACCCACAGACCAGATAAAGGAAGGGGTTATCATATCTCAGTTTACCACCTTTTCAATGGAATTGCAGTAATATTGAATAGGGCCACCAACTAACCTGTCTTATTTTTTTTTTTTTTTTTTTAACAAATCGCCGTCTCCCCCACCCCAGGATGGGACCCAAAAAAAAGAAAACCCCAAAAAAAAAAAATACTTTCATCATCATTCAACACTTTTACCCCCACTCACACTAACACGTTTTTGCAGAGGTGCCGAATACAACAGCTTTAAAAACAATACGTACGATAAAGATAACAACATTCCCCCCAAACTGCCATACCCAAACCACCCCTTTTTAAATGCAGGGATTTCACTTCCCATTTCCAGGACTCAATTCGGCTATACAAAAATAACCGGTTTCCCTGAATCCCTTAATAAATATTTTCCCTGCCAAACCCAACAGCTCATCAGGTCCCAAAACCATTCATCCCCCATTACTCCCCAAACGCCCACGCAGCGCTAAGCCAAACCCCTTCCCCAAAACCCAAACCCCCCCCCCAAACCCCTTTCGGCACCCTCCCCCCCCTTTCCCCACTTTGGGAAAGGTTTTTTAAAGGGCCCCTTTCCCCCCCCCGGTGGGTTTCCCGACCCACCAAAAAAAACCATCATCAAAAATTTCCCTTATAAAAACCAAAAAACTCTATAATAACCTACCCCTCTAATTTAAACCTTCTAAAAAACACACCTCAAATTTAATTTTTCCCAAAAATCTAAAACTCTTGCAAACCTTTTTTTAATTTTAAAATTTTTAATTTTTTTTTCCCATTATTCAAAACATTAAAATTTTTAAATTTTTTTTATTAAAAATATAATTAATCTTTTCTTTTTTCCTTAATTTTTCCCCCCTAATCATCTATATTTTTTCCCTAATTCATCCAAAAAGGCTCTCCCCTAATTTCTTTATAAGAAAAAATCTTTAAAAAACCCCCCCCAACTTTAAAACAATTCTTAGTCCCTTCTTTTAAAAGAACAGGTTCAACAAAACTCCACATAATAAGCAATTTACAGTACTTCCAAGAACAAATGTAAAATTATTTACTAAAAATCTGATTTGCCCTGGGGAGGATTTTTTCTGAAGAAGTGTGATTTGATGATCACATTACTAATGTAATGCAAACCCCTAATATGCAAAATATAAAAATGTAGTAAAACTGACTTGATGCTTATGAGTTTAGCACTTAGTTGTGATTATTATAATAATAATAATAATATAATAGTAAAATAATAATAATAATAATACAACTAATTACTGTATATTGACATATCAACTGCTAAAGCAATGAATGGAAGTTAGTGAGTGAATTGGTTTAGATTTTTTTTAAATATTATATGATACCTGAAGAGTTATATATTCATGGTGCATTACTTAAGTGTTGTTGTGCACAGCATCTGCCTACAACCGGTGGCGCTCAACCTTCTATTTGGTGTTTGACTTCTGCGAGCACGACTTGGCAGGCTTATTATCCAATTATAATGTCAAGTTTAGTCTGGGCGAAATTAAGAAAGTAATGCAACAGTTGCTGGAAGGACTCTTCTATATCCACAGTAGTAAGGTATGAGTTAAAGGTTTTGTTAATTATCCAAACTTTGTTAATTGTAGAAGCTTTGCTACTTATGTCAACTTTGTTACTTCCATAAACTTTCGGTTACTTAACCAGACCTTTGTTGCTCATTTAAGGATTCAGCTGCTTATCTAAATTTTCTGTTACTTATCTGGACCTTTGTTGATCATTTAAGGATTCTGCTACTTATCTAGACTTTCTGTTACTTATCTCAGTGTTCTGTTACTTAGAAGCTGGCTCTTTTGAGTGCATGCTTCTCAGTCTAGCTGACTGTAAATGTAAACTGGGTTTGCTGTTCAGTACCTGGAAGGTGGTTTTCAATGAGGATAACTGAAGTGTTGCTATATCTTTTCCATAGTTCATATAAATTCTGGTAACTGGGCATCAAACCAGTAAGAAAGGGTAGCATAAAGCCATGTTTGACTAAGATTGATTAGTAAAGAATTGATGATAATTATAATACAGGTCAGCCATCACTAATCAGGCAATCAGTTATCTGGTTCCATCAGTAATCTGGCACTAATTTTGGCTAGCATAATTTAAAATTTCATCATTATACTGACTCAAATCAATATACTGACTCAAATTTCATCATTATACTGATTCAGAAATTGTGCAGATGGCTGTAAATCCACAGCAGCAAGCCAGTGGAGGAGAAAGCAGTGATGAAAATGAGGAAGATGTAGCAGAAAGAGTCTCTATTGATAGATTAATTAAGTGTATTATAACCTAACCACTCTGTAATCCGGCACACTACAGGTCCCAATGATGCCGGATTAGTGATGGCTGACCTGTAATACATAATAATAATAATCTAGAAACCCATCAGTTACACAACCCAGGGCAACATGGGTTTAGAACAGATCACTCCTGTCTGTCTCAACTATTGGATCACTACGACAAGGTCCTAGATGCACTAGAAGACAAAAAGAATGCAGATGTAATATATACAGACTTTGCAAAAGCCTTTGACAAGTGTAACCATGGCGTAATAGCACACAAAATGCGTGCTGAAGGAATAACGGGAAAAGTCGGTCGATGGATCTATAATTTCCTCACTAACAGAACACAGAGAGTAGTAGTCAACAGAGTAAAGTCCGAGGCAGCTACGGTGAAAAGCTCTGTTCCACAAGGCACAGTACTTGCTCCCATCTTGTTCCTCATCCTCATATCTGACATAGACAAGGATGTCAGCCACAGCACCGTGTCTTGCTTTGCAGATGACACCCGAATCTGCATGACAGTGTCTTCCATTGCAGACACTGCAAGGCTCCAGGCGGACATCAACCAAATCTTTCAGTGGGCTGCAGAAAACAATATGAAGTTTAATGATGAGAAATTTCAATTACTCAGATATGGCAAACACGAGGAAATTAAATCTTCATCAGAGTACAAAACAAATTCTGGCCACAAAATAGAGCGAAACACCAACGTCAAAGACCTGGGAGTGATCATGTCGGAGGATCTCACCTTCAAGGACCATAACATTGTATCAATCGCATCTGCTAGAAAAATGACAGGATGGATAAGGAACCTTCAAAACTAGGGATGCCAAGCCCATGATGACACTCTTCAGGTCACTTGTTCTATCTAGGCTGGAATATTGCTGCACACTAACAGCACCTTTCAAGGCAGGTGAAATTGCTGACCTAAAAAATGTACAGAGAACCTTCACGGCACGCATAACGGAGATAAAACACCTCAATTACTGGGAGCGCTTGAGGTTCCTGAACCTGTATTCCCTGGAACGCAGGCGGGAGAGATACATGATTATATACACCTGGAAAATCCTAGAGGGACTAGTACCGAACTTGCACACGAAAATCACTCACTACGAAAGCAAAAGACTTGGCAGACGATGCAACATCCCCCCAATGAAAAGCAGGGGTGTCACTAGCACGTTGAGAGACCATACAATAAGTGTCAGGGGCCCGAGACTGTTCAACTGCCTCCTAGCATACATAAGGGGGATTCCCAACAGACCCCTGGCTGTCTTCAAGCTGGCACTGGACAAGCACCTAAAGTCGGTTCCTGACCAGCCGGGCTGTGGCTCATACGTTTGTTTGCGTGCAGCCAACAGTAACAGCCTGGTTGATCAGGCTCTGATCCACCAGGAGGTCTGGTCACAGACCGGGCCGCGGGGGCGTTGACCCCCGGAACTCTTTCCAGGTAAACTCCAGGTCAGCATGATACACTGTACAGAGTTAGGTTACATATAGGTGTTCATGCAGGAAGACCATTTTTATGTAGAGCATTTCAGGCAAACTTAAGCATAACTTAAGACTAACAAGGGCAATAACTAATTGTTTACTTATACGTATATTATATGGTCTCTAAAGTTGGATTATGATTACAGGTCATAAACAGTAAATTTGGGAATTACAAGGTGCTCAAGACTGAGCAGAAAGTCATTGAATATATGTCTTTTTCGAAAACATAATACTTATCACTTCTATTTTCAGATACTACATCGTGATATGAAGGCTGCCAATGTACTTATTACAAAATCTGGAACACTAAAATTAGCCGACTTTGGACTTGCACGTGCATTTTCTCAAAGAAATGGGCAGCCAAATAGGTACCTAGATGTGTATTGTGGTACTTGCATGTATATTATTATTATTTGGTTCTATTGATGGATTATTAAATACTCAGCGATGTGCAAAACTTATAGATAGCCTTTTGCATAAATTTCTTTTTCATTGACTATGCTTGTAACTTCATTGACCTTACGATTCATTTGTTGTACTATTTTTAAATTGACAAACTGGGATGTAGCTCCTTTTAGCATTGAATGATATTTTCATTAATGTGCACTTTGGCAGGTACACAAATCGTGTTGTTACTCTCTGGTATCGCCCACCAGAGTTGCTACTTGGTGAGAGGAACTATGGACCACCTATTGATCTCTGGGGTGCAGGTTGCATAATGGCTGAAATGTGGACAAGAACACCTATTATGCAGGTACAATTACCACGATTAACAGAAAGATTTGCCATGTATTATACTTTTTAACTGTTTAAAACAGATAAATATATTGTGTTGCAGTATCTATTACTTTATATTAATTAACCCTTTGACTGTCGCAACCCCCAATCCTGAGGTGTCTCCTGGTGTCGCAAAATTTAAAAAAAAAAATTATTTTTTTCTTATGAAATGATAGAGAATCTTTTCCCCATTGTAAAGACACCAAAAAAACGAAATTTGATGGAAAACTGATGGAATTACGCTCTCGCGAAGTTAGCGACCTCGGCGATATTTACAAATCGGCTATTTCGCCCACTTTGAGCCCTATTTTCGGCTAATTCCATTTTTCCAGTCAACCAAACTCATAGCTATTTCTTCAGAACTCCATTTTTCCCATCGATTGAGTACAAGAAACTGCCCATTTACCGATTTCAACTACCCAATAACATGGTCAGAAATTTGCAATTTGGCCAATTTCACAAAAAATTAAAAAATATGACAGTTTCAAAATAAGGACCAGAATGAACAATGCAGACATTCCTGGCTCTAAAATAACATTTTCTTTGTTCATCAGTCATGTCTCCAGGCCCCTCTGATATTACTCTTGCTTTTTATTTTGAAATTTTATTCAAACAAAAAATAGAAGATTTACTGTTATGCAGACTACTGCAATACTGTAATAATTGTAAAAATTACATCAACCCATTCATGACTGCATATTAGAATGGCTATTTGGACATTTATTGGACAATGACATCATTTGTTTACTTTTGAACATCGGCAAAAATCAAACATTTCTTGTACTTTGTGCTCCATTTCCAGGTTCTTTTTATAGTAAAATTAATCAAAATCACCTCTATTTCTATAATATAGTTTCCATTCTATCAAATGAGACCAAGAAAACGAGAATGCAACCACAAATACTATACGAATATAGACCACAAAGTCGGCATTTTAATTAAAAAAAACGGTCGGAGTTTTTTTTTTCTCATTATGCACTGCGTGCTCCAGGATTTTTTTTATATGGTGCACACTGACCACACAGACCCATTCTCTCACATGTGGGCCTACCAGCTTTCTCCTGCCTGATTTGAAGCCGCTAGAATTTATGAGTATATATACGTCAAACACGGTACCTCATAAACGTATATATACGGCCGCGACAGTCAAAGGGTTAAGGGCTAAAGATGACAATAACTTATAATAAATAGCTTACTGTACAATTATAAAAAAAATTCCTTTCATGTGGGAAATATTTAAATATGTTGAAAAATTTTAGAAATTTTTTATATGAAACCAGGCCCTCAGGAAGCAGGGATTTCCAAAGAGTACAGTACTTTAGAGACACTGTTACAATAAGTCATCTTTTCATAAATATAAGTGACTGTACTTTTTAATGTGAATGTTTGAGTGAAGGAATATTTTCTTGGCTTGTCATAATATGCTGGAATAATGTTATTCTCTGTTATAATTGTAAGTGAGTTGGCTTATGACAGTTAAAAGTGGTGAGAAATATTATGGAAGTGATAAATCCTGTGTATACTCCATGGCGAAGTGGAAAAGAATCCTTCCTCCACAAGCCATGTTTGTCATAGGAGACGATTGAAAAGCTGGGAGCAAGAGACTAGTAACCCCTTCCATGTAAATTACTAAATGTAAAGAGAAGGAAAACTTTCGTTTTTTTTTTTTTTGGGGCTGCCCTGCCCCAATGGGAGATGGACAGTGTGTTAAAAAAAAAATTGTGTATACAATATTATTGTTGTAATTTACACACAATATACGAAATATTCACAACAAATCCACAACTTGCAAAGGAAACCCAGACCATTACCAAGTTGTGATGGACAAACCAAAACATGTCTAAATTTTTCTCTGCAGATTGTGGGTTGATTGTGATTTATTCCTTACAGAAACATTAATGAATTATGTTTTTTCTTCAAGAATGTAGTCAGCGGTATTTAGGAAAACTGAAGTATTGTAATAGTTTTTGCAGGGAGGGAAAAGTCAGGCGAGATATTTGAAAATATAGTTTTTCATTGAATCTAAGTACATAATAACCCACATGGAGACAGACACACAGAAAACAAAGTGGTCTTTATATTTTGACCCCCAGCTGGAGTCCTCTTTAGCAGATACAAAATGTGAGATGGGAACATGTTTATATAGGGATGGTACACCCCTCAGGTGTGCAACCGAGTATAGGGAATTAAGTGGAACATCAGGTTAGGAAGTAAGTGAGTGTGGAGCATCAGGTTAGGAAGTAGGTGAATGTGGAGCATCAGGTCAGGAAGCAGGTGAGTGCAGAGCATTAGGTCAGGAAGTAGGTGTGTGTGGAGCATCAGGTCAGGAAGTAGGTGAATGTGGAGCATCAGGTCAGGAAGTTGGTGAGTGCAGAGCATCAGGTCAGGAAGTAAGTGACTAGAACCAAACTTCAACTCTGGTAAGTAGTTGACTATACTTTATTATTCCAAATATAATATACTGGCATTCTGAATTATGGTAGGTTTGGTGATGGTATTACTTTTTAAGTGCAAATGCTCAGTGTAGCATTTGCGTTCTTTATGCTAATAATTATTACATTACGTACATTTATACTTTATGTATATGTAATTTTCACATTAGTACAGGAGGGCTTCACCTATACAGCAGGTTAGATTCTGGGCTACTGCTGTAAAGCTAAAATAGCCGTAAAGTGAAATATAGCTTTTTTTTCACTTTCAAATGCATATAAAAGCCTGATAACATGTTTACACTATCATATACTAAGTGATCAATAGAGCCAGGCCTAAAAAAATGCATATACAGTACATATATTACTTACCTTAACCCGTAAACGGTCCAAGCAGATCTAAGTGTTTTTTACATATTTTCAAATATAACCCAAAAAAAAGTAGATCAAAGTTTTTTTACACATTTTCAAATGTAGAAAAACAAAAAGAAGATCTACTTTTTTTACATACTTTCAAGTGTTGAAAAAACGTATATATACGTTTGGACCGTTTACGGGTTAAAATATTTCTGTCCTTATAGTTAGTGGTGAATATATTTATTATAGGAAGTCTGAATAAATAAAAAATGGGCATAATTGAAAACTGCTGCATTGGTGAAATGTCGTAAAGCAGGACCCACCTGTACATGTAGCGAAAAAGAACTTGAAATATTGTCAAAATCCTCAAGTATTTTATGATTAAAACAATATTTTTTTTTTCAGGGCAGCACAGAGCAGCATCAGCTAAATCTTATTTCACAGCTGTGTGGGTCAATAACCCCAGAAGTGTGGCCAGGGGTTGAAAATCTCCCACTCTTCTGTACTATGGAACTTGCTAAGAATCATAAGAGAAAAGTTAAGGAAAGACTTAAGCCCTATGTCCGTGACCCTCATGCTTGCGACCTTATAGACAAGATGTTAACGCTGGATCCTTCTAAAAGAATGGGTATGAACTTAAACTTATTTTTAGTGTATACTACATGAAGAACTTAGCTAAAGAGACAAGTTTTTTTTTTTTTTCATGAAGATTATTATTATTATTACAGTACTGAAAGATTAATCATCTGTCATTAAACCCCCTCATACGAGGTTCCTTGATACTGTGGAGGGGCTCTTGATACAGTAAATTGGATCTGTCCTCCCTTGGATTGAACCTGATGGCCTCCCATTTCCCCAGATGTTTCATTACCCATACAGGTTTAGTGCTTACCCAGGATTATAATAATAATCCTGTTGTTAAATTTATGTTGTCGTACTGTTTACAACGTGATTATTGTCTTTTCCCACAGATGCAGACTCTTCATTAAATCATGACTTCTTTTGGATGGACCCCCTACCATGTGATCTTGGCAAGATGTTGTCACACCATACCCACAGCATGTTCGAATTTTTGGCCCCTCCCCGCCGGGGAAAACAGCAGCAGCAACCACAGCAGCCACAACCTTCACAGCAGCAGCCACAGGCAGGCCATTCTTCTCAGCAAATACAAGTGTCACAGTCATCGGGACAAGCTCAACAAGGAGGGTCAAGGAGGTCAGGTCATCGACCATCCACCTCTTCCAGTGTAGCCAGCATGTCCTCGTGTCCAGAGAGGATATTCTAGTTGAAAAATGTTTTGTCAGAGGTAGCAGATTGTTTTGTTTTTATCACTTTATTTATTGATCATTACCGTTAACATGTTCTTATAGATAGAAAAAAATAATTGCCGAATTTTTGAAGTGCACACGAGGCGTTTCTGACAGTAAGATCCAGTTCAACATGTGAAATGTTGTAAAGAAGGCCTTAAAACAATATTTATAGAAACAAAACAAAAAATACAAAAATAAATTTTCAATTTATATAATTTTTTTATTTCTTATATACATACCGTATTGTTTTAAAGCATTCTTTTAACATACAATAAACTGTCAATATAATGAACAAATAGGGAGGAGTGTCCGTTAACTCAGAAGAATAATACAAAATAGCAATCAAATGCACTAAACTACTGTACTGTATCGTTATTATAGTACTGTACACATAACTTCCAGATAAACTGCAATAAACGTTGAAGAATAAAGGGGTTAAAAGTACAATTTAGTGGATTTTTCCCATAATTTTAGAAGTGCATTATATTGAGGGTTTACTGTAGTTAACATGTTGAGTTTGGCCTCACAATAGGCAGTGTCTCATGTAGAGTACTGTGTCCAGGGGTTGGGAAACATGTAGTATATTACCATTTAAATACCAGTGGATTCCAATGCTTTAAAATACATAAAAATAATTTTTTTATGAGACAGTGATATATAGGTAGTGTTACTTTGACTAGAAACGTCCGATGACACACTAGATGAGAATATTTTTAGTAATTTTATAGATAACATTTATTTATTTATTGTAAAAAATTTGTATGTGTATCTTCAGTTTAGGATTAGGTTCATGTTCAGAAATTGGTATAAGTTTTTTTATAGTAAATTAATGGAATCTGATAGCCTTTGGGTGTATGTAGTGTTAAAGAATTTAATTCTCTCAAGTATTTTGTACAATAATGAGATTTGTAACCCCAAAGAAATTTTTGTTAAATAGAAGCAAAGTCACTTTGCCTGTAAAAAAAAAAATGATGAGCTCACTTCCTTACTTTTACTTATAAAAGTCAGTATTATAGTATAAATTTAAAAAAGAAAGTAAATTGTTTTAATACTGTAGGAAGGTTGATCTACAGTGTAACTGCACACACAAACCATAATTTTTTATTTCTTGTATTTTAAGTAATCTGGAATAGTATAAATGATATTGAAAAGCACATATAATACACAAAGTTCAAAAGGCATGTATTGCTTTGAGTACCTGATCATTTTTTTTTTTTTTTTTTTTTTTTTTTTTTTTTTTTTTTTTTTTAATGACACCCCAATTCCTACTAGTCAGTGAGTCGTGGATACATAGCTATGCCCGTGAGAGTACAAACATTCTTATATGTTACATTTAAGAATTTGTATTTTAGGATACTACCAGAATTTTGAAAGCATTATATAATTTAGTTGGTATTTATCATATAAATTATGTATAAAGTCTTTAGTTGTATATATATACTCAAGATTCTATATTTAGATTTAAAAGAGCTTGTAATTCCTCTCAACTCTCTCTGTGCATTTGTACATATTTCTGTCGCCACAGATCATTATGCTGGGCAGTGTCTTTGGCAAAAGCAGCTCTTTGAACATTACAAAGTTTACACCAACAAGAATGATAATTGTAAATGTATGGTACTGTAATACAATACCAACACGATGAAGAATCAGACACGTGCGACATCTGGGTAGCTTTATTGTAGACATTTCACCATCAATAAAGATACCCAGATGGAATGGCAAAATGTCTTCAGTAAAGATACCCAGATGTTGCATATGTCTAATTTCTCAAGAACGACAGTTTTCTGCACTTACTTTTTTTTTACTATTAATGAATAATAGTGCATACTTTAATTAGGATTGCTATTATATTTTATATACAGTAGTAGGTTGGTAGACAGCAACCACCCAGGGAAGTACTACCGTCCTGCCAGATGACTGTGAAACAGAAACCTGTAACTGTTTTGCATGATGGTAGGATTGCTGGTTTCTTTTTCTGTCTCATAAACATGCTAGATAACAGGGATATCTTGCTACTCCTACTTACACTTTGGTCACACTTCACAGACACGCACATGCATATATATATACATACGTCTAGGTTTTTCTCCTTTTTCTAAATAGCTCTTGTTCTTCTTTATTTCTTCTATTGTCCATGGGGAAGTGGAAAAGAATCTTTCCTCCATAAGCCATGCGTGTCGTATGAGGCGACTAAAACGCCGGGAGCAATGGGCTAGTAACCCCTTCTCCTGTAGACATTTACTAAAAAAGAGAAGAAGAAAAACTTTATAAAACTGGGATGCTTAAATGTGCGTGGATGTAGTGCGGATGACAAGAAACAGATGATTGCTGATGTTATGAATGAAAAGAAGTTGGATGTCCTGGCCCTAAGCAAAACAAAGCTGAAGGGGGTAGGGGAGTTTCAGTGGGGGGAAATAAATGGGATTAAATCTGGAGTATCTGAGAGAGTTAGAGCAAAGGAAGGGGTAGCAGTAATGTTGAATGATCAGTTATAGAAGGAGAAAAGAGAATATGAATGTGTAAATTCAAGAATTATGTGGATTAAAGTAAAGGTTGGATGCGAGAAGTGGGTTATAATAAGCGTGTATGCACCTGGAGAAGAGAGGAATGCAGAGGAGAGAGAGAGATTTTGGGAGATGTTAAGTGAATGTATAGGAGCCTTTGAACCAAGTGAGAGAGTAATTGTGGTAGGGGACATGAATGCTAAAGTAGGAGAAACTTTTAGAGAGGGTGTGGTAGGTAAGTTTGGGGTGCCAGGTGTAAATGATAATGGAGCCCTTTGATTGAACTTTGTATAGAAAGGGGTTTAGTTATAGGTAATACATATTTTAAGAAAAGAGGATAAATAAGTATACAAGATATGATGTAGGGCGAAATGACAGTAGTTTGTTGGATTATGTATTGGTAGATAAAAGACTGTTGAGTAGACTTCAGGATGTACATGTTTATAGAGGGGCCACAGATATATCAGATCACTTTCTAGTTGTAGCTACACTGAGAGTAAAAGGTAGATGGGATACAAGGAGAATAGAAGCATCAGGGAAGAGAGAGGTGAAGGTTTATAAACTAAAAGAGGAGGCAGTTAGGGTAAGATATAAACAGCTATTGGAGGATAGATGGGCTAATGAGAGCATAGGCAATGGGGTCGAAAAGGTATGGGGTAGGTTTAAAATGTAGTGTTAGAGTGTTCAACAGAAGTTTGTGGTTACAGGAAAGTGGGTGCAGGAGGGAAGAGGAGCGATTGGTGGAATGATGATGTAAAGAGAGTAGTAAGGGAGAAAAAGTTAGCATATGAGAAGTTTTTACAAAGTAGAAGTGATGCAAGGAGGGAAGAGTATATGGAGAAAAAGAGAGAGGTTAAGAGAGTGGTGAAGCAATGTAAAAAGAGAGCAAATGAGAGAGTGGGTGAGATGTTATCAACAAATTTTGTTGAAAATAAGAAAAAGTTTTGGAGTGAGATTAACAAGTTAAGAAAGCCTAGAGAACAAATGGATTTGCCAGTTAAAATAGGAGAGGAGAGTTATTAAATGGAGAGTTAGAAGTATTGGGAAGATGGAGGGAATATTTTGAGGAATTGTAAATGTTGATGAAAGATAGGGAAGCTGTGATTTCGTGTATAGGACAAGGAGAATAACATCTTGTAGGAGTGAGGAAGAGCCAGTTGTGAGTGTGGGGGGAAGTTCGTGAGGCAGTAGGTAAAATGAAAGGGGGTAAGGCAGCCGGGATTGATGGGATAAAGATAGAAATGTTATAAAGCAGGTGGGATATAGTTTTGGAGTGGTTGGTGCAATTATTTAATAAATGTATGGAAGAGGGTAAGGTACCTAGGGATTGGCAGAGAGCATGCATAGTTCCTTTGTATAAAGGCAAAGGGGATAAAAGAGAGTGCAAAAATTATAGGGGGATAAGTCTGCTGAGTATACCTGGTAAAGTGTATGGTAGAGTTATTATTGAAAGAATTAAGAGTAAGACGGAGAATAGGATAGCAGATGAACAAGGAGGCTTTAGGAAAGGTAGGGGGTGTGTGGACCAGGTGTTTACAGTGAAACATATAAGTGAACAGTATTTAGATAAGGCTAAAGAGGTCTTTGTGGCATTATGGATTTGGAAAAGGCGTATGACAGGGTGGATAGGGGGGCAATGTGGCAGATGTTGCAGGTGTATGTGTAGAGAGGTAGGTTACTGAAAGCAGTGAAGAGTTTTTACGAGGATAGTGAGGCTCAAGTTAGAGTACATAGGAAAGAGGGAAAATTATTTCCCAGTAAAAGTAGGCCTTAGACAAGGATGTGTGATGTCACCGTGGTTGATTAATATATTTATAGATGGGGCTGTAAGAGAAGTAAATGCGAGGGTCTTGGCAAGAGGCGTGGAGTTAAAAGATAAAGAATCACACACAAGTGGGAGTTGTCACAGCTGCTCTTTGCTGATGACACTGTGCTCTTGGGAGATTCTGAAGAGAAGTTGCAGAGATTGGTGGATGAATTTGGTAGGGTGTGCAAAAGAAGAAAATTAAAGGTGAATACAGGAAAGAGTAAGGTTATGAGGATAACAAAAAGATTAGGTGATGAAAGATTGAATATCAGATTGGAGGGAGAGAGTATGGAGGAGGTAAATGTATTCAGATATTTGGGAGTGGACGTGTCAGCGGATGGGTCTATGAAAGATGAGGTGAATCATAGAATTGATGAGGGGAAAAGAGTGAGTGGTGCACTTAGGAGTCTGTGGAGACAAAGAACTTTGTCCTTGGAGGCAAAGAGGGGAATGTATGAGAGTATAGTTTTACCAATGCTCTTTTATGGGTGTGAAGCATGGGTGATGAATGTTGCAGCGAGGAGAAGGCTGGAGGCAGTGGAGATGTCATGTCTGAGGGCAATGTGTGGTGTGAATATAATGCAGAGAATTCGTAGTTTGGAAGTTAGGAGGAGGTGCGGGATTCCCAAAAACTGTTGTCCAGAGGCTGAGGAAGGGTTGTTGAGGTGGTTCGGACATGTAGAGAGAATGGAGCGAAACAGAATGACTTCAAGAGTGTATCAGTCTGTAGTGGAAGGAAGGCGGGGTAGGGGTCGGCCTAGGAAAGGTTGGAGAGAGGGGGTAAAGGAGGTTTTGTGTGCGAGGGGCTTGGACTTCCAGCAGGCATGCGTGAGCGTGTTTGATAGGAGTGAATGGAGACAAATCGTTTTTAATACTTGATGTGCTGTTGGGGTGTGAGCAAAGTAACATTTATGAAGGGGGTTCAGGGAAACCGGCAGGCCGGACTTGAGTCCTGGAGATGGGAAGTACAGTGCCTGCACTCTGAAGGAGGGGTGTTAATGTTGCAGTTTAAAAACTGTAGTGTAAAGCACCCTTCTGGCAAGACAGTGATGGAGTGAATGATGGTGAAAGTTTTTCTTTTTCAGGCCACCCTGCCTTGGTGGGAATCGGCCAGTGTGATAATAAAAAAAAAAATAATAATACATTATAAAATATTCCCATTGATCTTTTATGATAGAGTGAAGCTGTCCATAGTATATGACATTACTATCCATTGAAAAGAGTGTATTGTATGTAAGGTAATGTATCCCGTTTTTATAATTCCCTATTTAATTTGCGGTTAAAAGGGATGAACTTTCACTCTTAAGTTTCACATAGTGTGAATAGAAGAAATAGAATTGAAGTGATTGACTTGAATATTTGGTATATGGCTAGCTTATTTGTACTAGATTACTTTTCATATAACTTTTTTCACGTACCGGCCGTATCCTACCAAGGCAGGGTGACCTAAAAAGAAAAGCACACATGGCTTATGGAGGAAGAATTCTATTTCACTTCCCCATGGAGATAAGAGGAAATAAACAAGAACAAGAACTAATAAGAAAATAGAAGAAAACCCAAAGGGGTGTGAGTATATATATGCTTGTACATGCATATGTAGTGTGACCAAAGTGTAAGTAGAAATAGAAAGATGTACTGTACCTGAAATCTTGCATGTTTATGAAACAGAAAAAAGACACCAGCAATCCTACCATCATATAAAACAATTACAGGCTTCCATTTTACACTCACTTGGCAGGATGGTAGTACCTCCCTGGGCAGTTGCTTTCTACTAACCTACTACCTCCCTTTTTATGTAATTCTTTCATCCTTTCAATGCACTGGCCATATCCCACCAAGGCGGAGTGGCCCAAAGAAAAAACGAAAGTTTCTCCTTTTACATTT